CTAGCAAATTGATGAACAACGGGAGGACAGTGACAGTGACAGTGATTATGTTCAGCCAAACACTCTGAAAGACTTCAGAAATGTTTTAAAATAAGACTTTTGTCAAGGTGTAATAGTCTTAACCAATGTTTACTTGCAATCTGGATCAATTTTTCCAGTTACAATTTCCATGTGTCTATAGCAAGGAGTGAAAATTCTCTTTTCAACAAGGATACCCAAGGTATAATTTATTACTGGCATGAAAAATTAGTAACCTCTGAAACCAGTCAAAAATTGATAAAACTTAAATCACTCACCTCGCATAGAAACTTACCACACTTGTGTCAGCATCAAGATTGAGGGATATTATAGTAGGAGGAGAAAATGAATTATTCTGGCATGCCAATCTAGAGATATTAAGGTGAAAGAATATTGTATGTGATGTGACAGGTGGCAAGGTCTAGGAATAGTTCAAAATGGAAGAAATTGGAGAAAGTAGTTACAAGAAGCTACAATGATGATATTAGCAGTATCACAGAAAAGTAAGTTTCATTATGAAACATTTGGAAGGAATTAGGAAAACTGAATTGCTAACAGACTATAATGGCAATTCAATTAATTACAAGATAATAATCCAAAAGCTCTGGTGATAAGGAGATTACTAATATAATCTAAAGAATTAATAAAGTAGTCATGCATATGAGCTATGATGATGAGTATAGAACTGGAAATCTGTAGCAGAATAAGATCATAGGATCTTCAGGGGAAATCATTCAATAGGCAGTTAGGCATGTATATATTAAATCTGGAGACAGGTAACAGCTGAAGATGTAAGTTAAGGTTTCAAAGCAGTGACAGAAGCTTTGGGAGTGGGGGAATTTATGCAAGAAGGCTGGAAGAGAAAATCAGAAGACAGATGCAGAAAGTCTCTAGGGAATGACCCTGGTGTGGAAAGCTGCAGCAGGAAGGGAAGCTGGGAAAGGCAAGCAAGTGTTCTGTTGGCTCAGTAACACTCTGAAAGAAGAAAGAGCTTTCTCCCCAAACGGAGCCAATACAAGCACAATCTCCTGAATACAAAAGAAGGAGTCACAATTTTCCTCCTCCCCTTCCTGTATTTTCTCTTTCGCTTGGTGCAAGGGAATAAGAATAGATATAATCCATTCCCTGACCTGGCCAGTATATCATTTAATAGAACAGAATTTTTGTTGGATGTTATACATTCCCCAGTAGCTAAAATAATGCCATTTGGGAAAGAAAGGTGGAGGAGCTTATCTTGATTTTCAAAAGAGAGAAGACATTAAATTAATTTGTAATTTTGGCCAAAGATTCTGAAAAGCCTCAGAAATAGTGAAAATAAGACTTGTCAAACACAGACTGAAACTACAGGATACCTAACTGAATGGGAGAAAAAGATATCAGATTCAACCCATCAGACAAAGAGTTAATGTCCAAGATTTATAAAGAAATTAAAAAAGACCAACAACAACAAGCACAACCAAAAAAGTTTTTTTTTAAATAAAAGAATGGGGCTGGAGTGATAGCACAGCAGGTTGGGTGTTTGCCTTGCATGCAGCCAACCCAGGTTCGATTCCCAGCATCCCATATGGTCCCCTGAGCACCACCAGGAGTAATTCCTGAGTGCATGAGCCAGGAATAACCCCCTCTGCATCGCCGGGTGTGACCCAAAAAGCAAAAAAAAAAAAAAGTTTTAGGTGGGGAGAGGAATAGAACAGAAATAGAAAGAAGAAGGTAGAAGGCTAGGAGGAACATGAAAAGGTGATTATCATGGGAAATCCATGGAAATAAATGGAAATCCATTTATTATCAGGGAAATCCAAATCAGGATGACAATGAGATATCTCACACTAGTTATATTGGCATATATCAATACTGGGAACAATTTATGTTAGCGGGGATGTAATGAAAAATGAACTCTCATGATGAAATGAACTCTCATCACTGCTGGTATGTACGTTGTCTGGTTCAACACCTATGAAAAACAGTATGACGATTTCTCAGACAAAGAAAGAAAAAGTCACCAAGACTAAAGAGATATTACAGCAGGTAAGATGCTTACTGTGCACAAAGTCAACCCTTGTTCAATCCTCAATACCACATATGGTTCCTGAACCGCACCAGAAATGATCCCTGAGCACAGAACTAGGAGTGAGTTCTAAGTACATCTGAGTGAGGTCCAAAGACTAAACAACAAAATGCAAATAGAGTCACCATACAGCCCAGAAATTCTACTTGTTGGTATCTACCCCCAGGTAGATATGCACTACACATTGTGTAGTGTAACACTCTACAATAGTTAGGGTACTGAATCCATCCAAGTATCCAACAACAGATGAGTGGTTGATGTCTGTGTGGCATGAATACACAATGGAATATTATGCAGCTACAAGAAACATTGAAAGCATGCAATTCACTACAATTTGGATAGAAGTGGAAGAGATTGTGTTAAGTAATCAGAATAAGAATAATACTGATAATATAAGAATATAAGAATATAAGATAATATAGATAATATAAGAATATAAGATAATATAAGATAATATAATAATATAAGAATATAATATAAGAATATAATATAAGAATATAAGAATATAATATAAGAATATAAGAATAATACTGATGATCTCGCTTATCTACGGTATATAAAATAATAGGACAGGGAATGCAAGGCATCGCTTTGGGGGCTACCTAGATTATTGTTGTCCCTAGATTATTAGAATGAAAGGGAAGAAAAGAAATTTGGGTTGTGGGGAAAGGGGTAGACTAAGAAGAGGCCGATGGGTGATAACAGGAGCTGGGACTAGGAACCTTGGGCAAGCTGGTCATGAGAGGTGTGGCATGTGCATATATCTAAACAGCAGAGGAAACAACACTATAGACAGGAGACCCTACAATAATCAAATGGAAAAAGTATACCCGTCAGGTGGCTGCTTGGAGGTGGGAAAGTACTTTGGGGGTGTGGTAGAGGGAAGCTGACACTAGTGATGAAATTAGTATCAGAATATTGTATACCCGAAACTCTACATGAGCAATGTTGTAAATGATGGGGCCTTAAAAGATTTTTTAAGAAAGGATTTTGTCAAAGGGGTTACAATTTTTGATGATCCACGAGACCAATCCAGGTTAATTGATCAGATATCACATAGACTGTAATTCTATGTACAGCAATAACGGAGGGAAGATCAGGTACAATTGTGGGATAAATATATGTGAAGTAGTAAAGTGAAGAAGAATTCTAAATAAAGCATAAGTTCAAGAAAGCATTGAAAAATGAGACACAGCATGAGCAAGAGGGAAGAGGCAGTTATATTGGAGGCAGAAGGCAAGGAAGAACTGGCTGTGGCTCAAAAGCATATTTTGGAGAACCATATGAATAAGAACATCCAGAAATGTTGCATCTGGAACAGGGTGAACTGAGAGATGCCCGCAGCGGGAGCATGATGTTAACATTCAAAGGGAAGTTTATTCTTCTCCAGCATATCTATAAGTGAATAAACAAGCACATAGGTATTGTTGTGTACTATCCAGTCCTGGGTAACATTCTCCCAGAATTCCTGCCTACTCTACTAACTAGCACACCATGTATGCTCTTTCTGTACAGCGTGTTCTGACCTCTTGGGGATTTAGAGCACCCCCACCTTTTCACATATTCACCAAGCTACCGTGAACACCAGCTCACTGGCTTAGCTTCCCTGGGTCTCTACCCAGTGCTTGAAGTGCGTGCAGACAGGAGGGATGCAGAAGTATGGAGTTCCTTCTACGAATTTCTTCCTGCTAATCTAGACTGTTTCTGTTTTCCCCATTATTCATAGACTTTCACCCTTCCACGATTCAGCACTCACTTTACCAACAGGTACAGGGAACCACAGTTCTCTGATATATTTTTCTAAGGCGAATCCTGTCAATTCTTGGGAATCCCAAAGTAAAGAGGAGAGGATAATAATGCAGTCAGACTATAGCAATTCAGTTAACTCATACCTGGGAACAATACTATTTTCTAACTGATTCTATTTATATTTTGTGTGCCTTATGTAAATCAAGTACTGAAGAGGTTCATCTTCCTTCTCTATTTCCCCATATCTAGCAGGAAACAGTACTCTCTTCTCTCTAATCAGATTTTATAATCGCAAGTTTCTGTGTTAAGGGAAAGAGAGAGATAAAGAGAATATTTTAATAGCTTTTTTTTTTGTCAACATCATTTTTCTCCAACAACTTCAGAGTTGGTGAAAGGGACTTCATCAAAACATACTTGAATAAGATGAAATTTCTCTGCTCCAGAAAAACAGCTCAAGGATCTGTCTGAATCATGCTTTGCATGCAGAGAACTCAGGTTTAATTCCAGCAGTGCATGGTTCCCCAACACTACTGGAGAGATCCCTAAGCACAGACAGATATGGGAGCAGCCTTGAGCACCACTGGCTGGGATCAGAGAAGGAAAATGGCTCATAAAATAGAGTAAATGAAAGAAAATAGAGAAAAATGACTTTGTGCCTTAGGAATAGGATTTTTGAGAGACTGGGTGGAAAACCTGGAACGTGAACAGTAGTATGAGTTGAATCTTACTGGAACTGGGTCTGAGATAGCATTCACAAATGATATTGTCAATCATTCACCTCGTTCAAATTTATATTTTACTGAGCCTAAGTTCTAGTTTCCTTGAAGCTATAAAATAAAACACCTAAAAATTGAAGTGGATTTTTATGACTCCCTCTCAGCTCCATCAGGTTTATATTTTCATCAAAGAGCCCAGAGCAGTACCAGGAGAAATAATCATGTCGGGCATTTAAAGAATGGCAAACTGTATCCGTAAGCAGTAACAGCTGTATTTTTACATAGTTTGCACCAATCATAGGTTTTCTGACAACTAGAACTGAACAGGAGGGAAAATTAGTCATTATTCCCATTTATGCAGGATGTAGATGATAAAAAATCATGACCCTTTCTACTTATTAAAAATCTTCCCTCACTAACCCAAGCTTCCTCTCCCTGCATTTCTCTTTCAGAGAAGCCACGGATGAACAACATTTTGACGTCAGCCACGGAACCCTATGACCTCTCCTTCTCCCGCTCCTTCCAGAACTTGACCCACCTCCCTCCATCTTATGAATCTGCAGTAAAGTCACACCCCAGCAAGTACTCATCCCTGAAAAGACTTAGTAAGTGGGTTTTTTCCAAAACTTGGAGGTTGCCTCTTAGATGTTCACATTCTTCTGGTGTTTCAGTCTCTTCTGCCTCTGAGAGCACCATTTCAAGAACAATGGGCAAGGAATAGCATGAAATAAAAGATCAGTAAGCTCTGATGTTTTCCTGAGTCCATTCTCCCCAGAAGTTTGAGGGATCCCTGCAATAAACCCCCAGATCCAAAGAAGGAATCATGTCATCTGCAGGATAAAATAATTGAAAAAGCAAGAGAACCATTCTGCAGAATTCCCCCCCATCTACCTTCAACCTTGCTCTCAATCTTATCCTAGAATGGATGTAACAATACTAGAGCTGAGACTCCCTTCAGAAAAACAATGGTGGGAATATACTCCCTCACTAACACAGTCAACACTGTCCTGAGAAACTGAGAGTTTCCCCCCTCACTCTCATATTCAAGCTCTATCTCTTCAGCTGAAAGCAATTCATCCAATGATCCCAGCTCTTCCATTTCAGTATGGGGAAGCTTCAGAGTTTATACATTTAAAACTATAAAATGTTCAAAATATGTATGGTGGAGAAATACTTATCTCCTGATTTTACAACTCATGGAACTATTTCCCTCATTTGCCAATCAGTTTTATTTGATGAACACCCAATTGTTATGATGAACATTTGCTTAAAGTTATGAACATCTAATATATTTAATGAATGAGTCTACATGGAGTTATCTTTTGAAAAAAGGTACAATATCTGGTGACCCAAAGCATCTGATACATGCATTTAGATGAAGAATTGCCCTCAGAAAAGTGGGCTTGCAGCCAGACTCTCTCTACATCCACATTTCCACAAGTTTTAGGTATTTAGATAGCACTATAGCACTGTCTTCCCATTGTTCATCAATTTGCTCGAGCGGGCCCAGTAACGTCTCCATTGTGAAACTTGTTGTTACTGTATTTGGCATATCGAATAAATCACAGGTAGCTTGCCAGGCTTTGTTATGTGGGCGAGATACTCTCGCCTCTCTGAGAGGGGCGGAGGAATCAAACTCGGGTCAGCTAGGTCGGCCACGTGCAAGGAAAATGCCCTATCCACTGCGCTATAGCTCCAGCCCAGGTAAAGGTAAAGGTAAAGGCCCTCCCGTTGATCGTCGATTTGCTCGAGCGGGCCCAGTAACGTCTCCATTGGAGACTTTGTTGTTACTGTGTCTGGCATATCGAATACTCTTGGTAGCTTGCCGGGCTCTCCGAGAGGGGCGGAGGAATCGAACTCGGGTCAGCCATGTTGGCCGCTTGTAAGGCGAATGCCCTACCCGCTGTGCTATCGCTCCAGCCCAGGTATCTAGATAATATCAATAAAAGGCTTTTGTTCCTGAAATTTAGAGTAAACCAGATTTGTGTGTGTCTAATTTCAGGGTACAGAAGGCACTCTGATCTTGAGAAGTCCTTCTGGATGGTGAGAAAGGTGAAATATTCCATACAGTGAGCAATTAGGGTTGTTTCTATGCCTTCAATCTGTAAGCATAGGCAGAGTATGTGTGGGCTTAATTCTGTGGTTTTGTAGGAGGGAGACGGCCATGTGTTGGCTTTCTATGTGTTGGATGTTGCTAGAAAGAAGCTACTATATTCTTAAGTTATGATCAAACATTTTCATGAGTACCTCCTCATTGGAGGAAGAGGCACTCATATTGCAAGAAGCATCTAATCTAGTTAACCGTCCCGTTTCCTTAGAGAGAGGCTCTGAACTTCATCAACAATTTTACAACTGCTGTTGTTTCGGGACCTGTGTGGGAGAAGCTACACTGGTATGAGTGCTGTGGTGTGGATTTGTCATTGGACTAGTTGGGGTGTAGAGGAAGTCCCTTGACCCTTAAATACTCAAGGTGCTTTATGAAGCAATGTCATCAGCGTTGTCTGGGAGCATGTTAGAGATACAGCCTGAGGACCCATCCCAGATCCAGAATGTGTATGTGCACAATGAAGGGTACTGGTGGCGGAGGGTGATATCTAAATCCAAATCTCCATTTATTGAGTTTCATAGGGAGCGGTTTGCACGTTCCATAGAGAAGCAATGCTCTGCCTGTCTGGTATTCAGGGTCCTCACTCCTTCCTGCTTGCAGGTTTTTCAGTGCCTTTTCTTTCTCTCTCCCACAGCTGACAAGGATGCTGATGAATATTACACAAGGAGGCGGCATCTGCCTGACCTCGCAGCCCGAGGAACCCTCCCTCTCAACGTTATCCAGATGTCCCAACAGAAGCCACTGTCACGAGAGCGACCGCGACGCCCCATCCGGGCCATGTCCCAGGACAGAGTCCTTTCGCCGGAACGGGGTCTCCCGGATGAGTTTGGCATGCCCTATGACCGCATCTTGTCCAATGAGCAGCTGCTCTCAACGGAGCGGCTGCACTCCCAGGACCCCCTGCTGTCCCCTGAGCGCACGGCCTTCCCTGAGCAGTCCCTGTCGCGGGCCATCTCGCACACGGACGTCTTTGTGTCCACCCCCGTGCTGGATCGCTACCGCATGACCAAGATGCACTCCCATCCCAGTGCCTCCAATAACTCCTACGCCACCTTGGGTCAGAGCCAGACTGCAGCCAAGCGCCAGGCCTTCGCCTCCCGCAGACACAACACCGTGGAGCAACTGCACTACATCCCAGGCCACCACACCTGCTACACAGCCAGCAAGACAGAAGTGACCGTGTGACCAAGCAGGCAGCGCCAGGCTTCCCGGCGGGAGCAGGACAGGGAGTGGAAGCAGAGTCACTTGCTCTCTTCACTTCCCTTTCCTGGTTCCGTCCACAGGAGGTGGGAGAACAGAGGGGCGCCTTTTGTCCAGAAAGCCATACTCCTGGAGATCCAGCAGGTGGCTTGACATGGCACGCTCAGATTAGGGATCCAGCGTGATCACTGTCACTCTGAGAGGTAGAAGGTGTGAGGATAGGGGCTAAGATCCAATCTCATTACCTTTTCCAACTTTCAGTCGCACATGCCCTTCTACCCTTCCTGGGGACTCAGCAGCAGGTTCTGTCAGCCAAGAACTACAGCCTCACCCTGGTGTGAATCTGCTTGGGTTTGATTTGGCCCACCGGCTGACTGAATAGGCTACTTGGTCTCACTCATTTACCTAGAACTGCATCCTGGGAATCTTCTAGTGCCTAAGAACTGCCTGCTGACTCTCTGAGGGCCAGAGAGCTGCTGTGTCCATAAGCACAATAATGAGCCTCTTCTGCCCACTGTAACTCTCTGGTCCCCACTGAGACACTCTTTCTTTCCTGACCCCACCTGGCTCTGTACCCCTCTTCCAGCCCAAGGATAAGAAATGGATTTTCTTCCGTCTGCTGCCTCTGCTTCGTTGGAAACTTTGTCGACTTTTAGCTGGCTGCCCCATCTGCAAGCCTTTATATGGTTCTCTGACTCCAAATTTCTTACTTCTGAGTTCTCTAGGACTTTGCTTCAGCCTTCCCTGAGGAGAGGAGTGATGGGGAGCAGGGACATTTGGGGTGTCCTACTCAGAAGCATGGTTATATCACTATTCTTCTAGGCCTTTTGACCTTGAACTATGACCTGCCACTTTGGCCTGCCTTCCTCTCCTCTGCTCTACTCCCTGGAGACATCTGTCCTTGGCCAGAGAGCAGTGGGTGGGGAGGGCCACTGTGATACCCTGGTCTCAGGGGTGTACCATTCCCGCCTTCTAGGGTCTTCCTCTCTCTAGTTATGCACGTCAAGTGGGACGGAGGCTTCTAGAGAGGTTTCTTAGTCCAACTGAAGAAGACCTGAGAGGCTTGTTCTGTACTTTTCCAGCCGCTATCTTCCTACCACTGGCCCCTACTGGGATCCTTTCCTAACTCTATCCCCATCACTTTCTCCCTCTGTCCCTGTCTCTCTCCCTCTCTCTTTCTCTCCATTTCTTTTTCTTACCCTTCTCTTACCCTCTTTGTCTCTCTCTTTCTCACTATGCCTGGTTCCCTACCTTCTGATCTTCTGTAGTTCCATTACTCTCCCACAGTTGCTGTTTCCTCTGGATTCAAGAGACAACGACCCATTATCAAAAGCAAACAGTGGTTATTTAGGCTGTTATCTGGGTACTACATGAGAAGTTCCACAGCCCCTCCCTGCAGAGGGCCTTCAGACAACAGGCAGAGAGACTTATGGCCTCAGCTCTTTTGGAAAGATACCCCAAGAATCCATTCTTCATTATCTGCTCCACCCTGGGGAGTGGGGAAACTGTGAAGAACTTCTGGAGAGTGGATAGTGAATAGAGAAGTACCCACTCTTCAGAGACAGAGCCGGGAGAAAGACAAGGAGCTCTCCCATGGTCAGACCTAGAGCACCGCCCTGGGCTATAGCAAGTCAGCTCCAAATGTTTGGATGAAGATGTGATGCTAAAATTTCAATTGCTGCCTCAGTCAAGCTTTAAAATCAATGACGAGAATTTTAAGAGTTCCCCAGTTGTGTATAGGACATATATGACATTTTTAAAATTGGAAGGAGGCAGGTAGAACGCAATGTTAGACCAAGCCTGAATTTAATGAAGTCTACAAGCTACAGTGAAAACAGTCAGCTGGTTCTTACATGTTTAAAGAACTCCAACGCTCTTGTTTACTCCTTAGACTCATCCCCTGAGCAGAAGATCATCAGCATGAATCATAAGATGATTGAAGTGGGGCAATGAAGACAGCCCTATACTTCTTCAGTGGGCACCCATCATTGGGATTGAGAGTCTGAGGATAGGGCTAACTTTCTACTTTCCTCCTCTACAAACACATAGACCTCAAGGGCTGGTTCCCAAGGGTTTATGAGAGTTTGTTCAAGAAGCCAAAGTTAAGAAGGTTTGGCTGGAAGAAATTAGAGAAGTTGACTACTGTTTATTCAAAGATATGTATATTATCATTGGGTCACCTCAACTAAGTGTCCTGTAGTCTAAAAGTCCAAAGCCAGTCCCCTGGATACTGGTAATAATGTAGGTAGGAAAAGGAGGTGAGTGGATAAAAACCCCTTTCTGGCTGACGAGACACAGTCACACCCCAGATCAGAATCATGATATCATCTCATTTCAGAAGCTTCCTCTCTGAATCAAGTTCTCTAGTCCTGAATATGATCATTTCTCCCCTTCTCTGTCTGTTTCAAAGTTGATAAGTAGATTGAAAATGCATTTCTCATCCCAGCCTTATTACTTATTCTATTTATATCCTCTGGTGTTAGATCAGAAAATGTTATCTAAATCCTTTTTTTCTCAATGATTTTTGCCTTTACCTTTGGTATAAAGGACAGAAAGAAAGAAAGAAAGAAAGAAAGAAAGAAAGAAAGAAAGAGAAAGAAAGTAAGAAAGAAAGAAGGTGGGTGGAAGGGAGGGAGGGACGGAGGGACAGAGGGACGGAGGGAGGGAGGGAGGGAGGGAGGGAGGGGGAGGAAGGAAGGAAGGAAGGAAGGAAGGAAGGAAGGAAGGAAGGAAGGAAGGAAGGAAGGAAGGAAAAACTAGAGGGAGAGAAGGTAACAAAAAAGAGTATCCTATATATGTCCTCCATCTCGAACCATTCTCACCATAAAATCCATAGAATAATTTTTTAACTGGGACATGGAACTTATTTATTCAGTTGTTCCATTCATGTTTACAGAGCAAGCAAAACCAAAACCACATTTCCAGGTAAATTTACATGGCAGATTAAAGGAGGTTCTGGGGATGGAATCCAGTGGACATCACTTCCATTACCACCAGGCTGTTGGCTTCCACCACACATAGAAGGAAGAACCCTCCCTAATCCGAGAACCCAGCAAGGGAAGTACAGAATACCCCAGTATAGGTTTTGTTCTTTGTAAAATCTTCACAGTATCATGAGTTCTGTCTCTCATAAAAGTGTTGCACAAGTTCCTTCCTCATAGAGATTTTTTCTGGTGTCCCTTGTTTCTGATGGCAGCAGTTTTTATAACCCTCAATCTTCCTTTCTTGAATCCCTCCAGTAAACTCTAACTCTATGCTCATGGGTCACAAAATCTTTTCCCAGAGCTTCTTAAAACCCTTCTATGGGTCTTGGTTTCAAGACTCCCAGTGTCTTAGGTGAGAGGTCTAATGCCTGGAAAACTCCAATTCTTCCCTTCATTCAAATTTCTCTACTAATTATATTTGATTTCCTTCCAGTTAGTTTAGACTTTCCTTCCTCACATCTTCCTAGGCTTGACCTTTTCCTCCATTTATTTTCTTAACATGACTAACTTATTTCTCTTGGTCTTACTATGTAGACTAGATACAGTCTACACAAAATCAGAGCATTTGATGAAATCATGCAAAAATTAAAAGAAGACTTGTCTAGATCTTCTGTTTGCCTTGTTAGTTCATCCTTCACCTCCTTTCTCAGAGATAATGCCCCAGGGTAAAAAGCCAAGGGCCCTCCCACTTCTATTTTTAGGAGAACAGGAAAAAAAGCTTTCTGAGGCACCCTGGCTTAAATATAAGCTTTGGTTTTAGCAGCTGACAAGTACCTTGAAGTTCTTACTCCAGCAGTCAACTAGCCCAGAGGCTCCTTCTCTGGCCAAACATTAATATCTCTGAAGGCTTTCAGCTATATTCCATCACAATTTCCCCATTTTTCTTGTATATGTTATAGATAGCCCTTTGACTCAAAAAACTTGAGAACTTCATGACTCTGTAAGCATGAATAAATATCCAGTCCAGTATCCCCTGACACCAAACATGACATACTTCTTCAGAGATAATTTGTCTGCCATCAGCCTTCAAACTCAGGTTCCTTCCATAGGCAGTTGTGAACTCAACTTGAGGTAACCTGGAAGGGCTACTGATAACCTGAAACCTAGACAACTCTTCTCTGGGAAGAGTTGACAAGTTATGTCCCAAACACATTTCTCCAAATGTGTCTGAAAAAATTTGCTCTGGGGTGTTTCTATGGAAGCTTGTTGTGTTTAATGAAGTATTTTTCAAGGTCCAAATGTTATTTTTTATAAATACAGCATTTTATTGACTGTTTCAATATGAAAGATATGTATTCTTGACTATATTTAATTTTGAAAGGAAGCATAGTATAGGAATAAAAAAGACACATAGGGCTGGAGTTCTTGGAGACATAGCTTCTTCCCTGATTTTGTTGCTTGCCATGTTAACCAAGGAAAAATGGTGTTCTTGCTCAGTGCCTCAGTTTCCCTATCTGTTAAACAAGGACTTTTACTAAATGAACTGTGAAGTTTCATCCACTTCTTACCTGGTAGAACTGTCACTTCTCATTATGCCCCTCCTTTTTTATGCATTGTCCCCATTCTCCACTGAGCTGCATATATCTCAATAAAAATTCATCACCAGAGCTTTGAGTGGGTCTCAGACTCTTGGACCTCTGGGAAGCTCTAAAGGTGTAAGGATCTACCTATTCAACATGTCACTAATTGTGTTTCATAGATGCCCTCTCCTATAGACAAACCTCAATCGTCTTGTGTCTGTGTAATCAGAAATTCAAATTTTAAAGTTTTTATTTGGATACAGTCCTTTAAGCTGGAGGGAGGCAGTTCCTACTCTAGAGAAGACATAGGCTAGAGGAAAAAATGGCCTGAGGTTCATCCAAACGGTGTGAAATTTATATTTGAGGAAATCTTGGAAATGTATTTCATGCACAAGAAAGGTTCTGTGTAGCACTGGATGCTATTATATCCCAGTCCAGAATGTGTGTCTGAAGACCAAGTCTGCGTACTGGGTTCATGTCTAACTCTAAAAGGAAAGCACTGTTCCTTGGGCTATTTATTAGGAGGTGGTATTTTCCCCATCCTAGTAACTTTCAAGCCTGTCCTTTGGATGCTACTGCCCTCCTG